AAATCCTTGTGTAATCATACTCAAAAGAATCACTACGTGGAGAGGTGATTGGAGTTCAGAAACCGGTCGAATTGTCAGCATCCGATCCGGCTGTACCAGCCATTTGAGAAATGTCGGATCTGCGTCACGACTTGCTTTGAACACCGTAACAACATTCTGAGCGGCAGACTAATTCAGAACCTTTATGCATTGTATAACGTTGCTTGTGATGAATGTTACAGCTGAGGGGTTATACGAGGGTGAACTCTGATAAATTTTGTTTTCTCGTTTCTTGATGTAAACGTACTCGTACCTATGGATGATCTTGGGAGCTCTTAAACATATCTATCAATTAGTTGTATTTACAGGTATATATGCAACGTTATGTGTATTCTATTCTTTTGTTGTGACCTATACTTAACCCAGCTGGTATGTGTGTACGATAAAGGTCTTCGTTCATTCATTAATGTTAAACAATATGTACGAGTAAAATCATATGTGCTGAGACTAGTTGAAATGTCATTATTGTGATTATGAATAAAGCAATGTTTGAATACTATTACTAATTTTCTTATCTTCATTTGGCGTGCTATAGAGTAGACGCGGAAAAGATGTATAGAAGAGAAAATTTCTGTTAAGTTATAGTTTAATGACTTTCAATTCTGAGGAAAAATCGTAAAGACATTTGATAGGATTGCTATATGAATAAGAACTTTATTTTTGCTTCAATATTGGATAAGTAATATTCTACTAACTTCTCACTTTGGCTTGATATTGAACTGTTCACATAAGTTGACAGCTTAGCTTCAACACAGGTGTCCTATAATGGCATCTATATCATGAGTCACAACCTATAGTTTAATCCATGATTGAGAAGTACACATTGGTGTGTGCCTGTGTGGTGATGTTACATAATCTGATAACGTTGTTGTACTTGTAGTCATGATTCTGATAACGTCGTTGTAGTATTGGCGCTTATGACTGTCTCACATATTGGGCACGTGAGCGTAGTGAATGACTTTTGCGTTTCTTAAATCTCAATTGTCCTACGATGCTACCCATTTACATCTACAGATATATTTCTCTAGCTACTGGACAATTACTAATTTCATCATTGCCCTATCACTCACCTAGGAATCACAATAACGCTGTAAGTGTTATAATCACAATAAGTGTAACGCAAACTTTTCTATCTTGCTAGTGGTTCGCTTATTTAAAAATCCCTCTCTGTATTGTACATATACGGATCCTCAGGGGCTATTTGTACAAAGTTCGTTGACCCATCCACCCAGTCTATCGGGGACCCGTCGTCAACAACAGGCTGTGCCATAAGCTTGTCCGTAGCCTTTTTCCCAGCGTCCTTCGCGGCAGCTTCGTCCTGAGGCTCGGGCTCACTCGGTTTGCCGTCGCCGGCCGTTCGGAGCCATTCGGGAACTTTCGGCTTCTTCATCCACTCGGGAATTTTCGACTTCTTGACGAAGACGTCTTCCTCGTCGGCGTCGTCGTCGTCGGGGCGCGGCTTGGGATTGGACCACGGCTGAGTCTCCCCCGAGGCGAGGAAGAAGTAGACCACGACGCTGGAGATCAGTATGACCGCCGAGATGATGAACACATAGCCCCACTGTTTGGCAGTCTGAGAGAAAAAAGAAAATATCCAATAAGATTAGAAAATGTTGATACATCTTTTATAGTTTCTGCCAGGTGACATTTATAGAAAAGAGATGCATACTCAGACATATTACGAATGCTTAGACCTTAAAACAAGTAGTATAAGTGACAGGCAAAGTCAGCATGTTGATTCATTCATAGTCTTGTACGTAGGTCAATTCTTTTGTACCCAAATGCCTGCTTGTTTAGTTATAGACGAAAGTCGCTGTACTTTTGCTGTGTCCATAAAGTTCTTGTGATCTTGTAAGTAAGATTATCTTTCAAAAATATTCTTCTTCATATCAAAAGGCCTATTTCCCCCCAGTGCCCCTTGAATGTGTTCAATGCCTTACGATTCAACGTTAATGTTTGTATTGTAGCACAAAAATCAAAGTCGACTGAAATGAGGGAACAAGGACCCTTGAATGTTGCACCGACCTTGTCATAGGTGATAGTCCCCACAACTATCGGACAGAGGATGCCTGAAAAGGTGGCGATGGCGCCGGACAGACCCATGATGATGCTGGCGTACCGGGGGGATATGTCCAGGGCGTTCACGTTATAACCTGTGGAAAACCAACAAGAAGTCGGACATTTGAGACTTCTTGAATGTATTGGAACTTTGGATTGTATGATGTAATTACATCGGGTAGTACAAGTTCCTGAATTCCTCCACTTACTCTCACCTGGCTAGTTCTGGGTTATATTCAATATTGAACTCCCTATCAATCAACTGTCAAAATTGCCTCCCCCCCCACACTCTCCCCATATACATGCATCCATCGCTATTTGGACATGAAACATACAAACTCACAAGTCAGCCAACCAGAACAATACTCCTGTTCGTTCACTCTCTGGACATTCTGCTTGCCAAATCCACGTGCACGTACCGGTAAAATTATTTGCGCATACTTAGGTCGTTTTGTTTACAAAAAAATAAAATGTTAGAGAAAACAACGCCAACTGGTTTTCAACACTTGAGCCCACCTGAAGCTAAGGTAAGACCGGCTGAAGCCATGCCGACCGACAGAAGAGTCATGGAGGCGACAGGACTGTTGGTACAGCCGATGATGAGGAAACACAGCGCCTCCACGGACAGACCTGGCAGATGTAAAAAAAACAATCAAGTAGGTAAAGACCTTCATGATTCGTGTGTATAAATGGGGTGATTTTGTCGTCAACACAAATAGTTCGTATGACGCGTAAGAAAAAGGTAGGAAATAATTCCCATGATCAGTTGGTCATGATGTCCAATTTACAAAACAAATCTAAATTTATTTGGTGGATAAACATCCACCAACTATCAACCAATGCACCAACACATATCCGGTAGAAAATTGATCTTTTCTGGGATTTTCTTTCGCGATGGAATGTGAAATGAGGTTTTTGCGTTTTTTAAAGTTCGCCGTTAAAACAAATTGTGTAGTACGGTACTAATACATAATTGTATATACATATTCGCGGTGGAGAGACCTAAAAACGCAAAAATAAACTAGAACACTGCATAAATGTCAAGATTTCTAGTTGCCTGTTGAACTCACCCACGGTATTGAAGAGTCGTCTGACATTGGTGGTGGTCATGACTTCCTTGGTGCGCATCCAGTCTCCAACACTGCCGGCGACGGGCAGACACAGCGCCAGGAACAGGAACGGCATGCCTGTGATCAGACCGGACTGGGGAGGGAGAACATGAATATTTATTTCTCACATTGACCAACTACAAACGGTTCAAATAATGACCCCAAACAGGGATAATGACATACGATTATACATGTACTAGTGTGTTGACATTTGTTGCTCTTAGAGTTTTGTCTACTGTTACATGTACTGTATTGTATATCGATATCAATATATATTATTGTTTAACAGGCTAGTCCAAGAATAAAAAAGAATACATAAACCTTAAATTTATAACTATGGTACCATTTCTTAACTTTCCTGCTACCTGAAACCGTAACCAATAGAGACTTAATAGCCAACGGGCTACTTTGGTGTGCTAAAGGTTACAAGGCTTTTAAGGATTCATTTACCGAAAAAGCGTACTGACAGTTCATTGCGCATGCAAACGATGGTCTTTATTTACTTACAGCTTCGACCTAAATGTCAAATGCCACCATGTAGTATAGGGTGATACAACATAAAGCACCTACGTGAACCTAAAATTGCATTTTTTTTGTTACGGAAGAAAATTAGAGGCTTTCAGTGACATAAGAGGCGAAGTGTTCATGGTGATAATGCAGTGTACATAAGGAATGTTTTATTGTACTTACAGCTTCGACCTGCATGTCGAATGCCTGCATGTAGTAGGACGGTGAGTTGGTGAGCAGGAGATAGAGGGTCCACTTGAAGGCGGTGTCCGTCACCAGGATGGCGTACACGGGAGGAGACGTCAGGATGTCTCTCCACGGCGTGTCCTGGGCCTATGGAACAGTTTCATTTCATTTATTAGGGAATGCAACAGTGCATGACAAGTGGTAGCCAGGCAGCAAGAAGACTAGTAGCGGCTACCACTGATCGATTGCATGCAGCAATACAAACGATAACAACATACAAGGCGTACGACAAACTATCAATATTATGCAATACTATTCTCATCCAATGAACCACAATATAGTAGTAATACATTTCCATCCTATGAACCACAATCAATATACTAGTAATCTATTCTTATCCAATGAATCACAATATCCTAGTAATCGCTTGCACCGTAATCGTTTTCACAGGTGTTACTAAATATTTCATTAAGATCGGAGGTCTCCGAATTCTTGTTTGAAGTTGAAATTAGTAGGCAACACATATTCCTTAGACTGCCATAAATAAAGAGAAGAACTGAGAATACCATAAAGTGTACTTACGGTAGACTGATGATTGGTTCCCTGGTAGAACTCGCCCAGGCTCTTCTCTATGAAGAGGCACTCCTCCTCGCTCACAGTGGGGTCTTTGGCAGGCGACTCCCACACGCACAAGGCCCAGATCACGGACCATGTGATGCCAAACGCCCCTGTAATACAAACATCTAAAGTTACACCACTGGAACTAAAAGATTAAAAAAATCATCACTAGATAGCTTTAAGGTGGTGTAGAAAAGTGTCTGAGGCCTTTTTGAATGTCTAGAAAATGGGGTTTGGTTTACAGTTAGATCCTAATATGTTGAAGATAATTACCTTGTAAAATTATAATCTATGCAAATTTTTGTGATTTCTAGTTAATGGGTCACGCCTTTAGTTAGATGTACAAAGGTCGGGTGCAACAGATTGTTCGGTGTAATATAGCGCGCCGCGTGCCTCCGAAGCTTGTGTGTTACGCGGAAGGGCCGGTTTTACCAGATATACAGTACAGAAATACTGGTAACAAATGTAATTCAGCATAACAGGCGTCCATTTTATTTTGTGTCCTCCCGACCTTCATACTAATATACATGGACAAGTAGCTGAAAGAGAATAGCATCACATACAGTGAATCGGTATTTTGAATGCGTGAATTTGTATGCGTGTCGAGTAGCATTAGAAAAACAGAAAGGTAGTCAACGAGGCAGCCAGGGACATGCAGGGAATTTTAACTGAACATTTCATCACACAACTGCTGAACAATGCTATGACTATGGTAATTACTAATAGGCCCAATATTCCCCGAAAAGGAAATGAAGCACAATTCCACCCACCGTACATGTAGAATGCATACGGCCAGCCGGCGTACTCAGTCACCACTCCGGATAGGGGCATGCCGAACAGAATCCCCGCATATTGGCCTGGGGGAGTGAATGTACAAAATATCCAATAAACTGCTGGTGGACGTACCAACTAATAAGTACCTAATACCAGCTCAGAAAAGGAAAGAAATACCTATGCCTTTAAGTACCATAGTTATCAACCAAGGATTGTTTTGTTCAAAAATTCATTTCCTAAAACTATCGCAGAGTGGAACTCGCTGTAACCAAGTACAGTAGGAGGATCATCACTAGATAGCTTTAAACAATGTTTAGAGTTAGATGTTCAAGGGTTAGGTGTAACAAGTCGTTAGGTGTAATGTAGCCAGCTGCCGCCTCGCCGCGTGCCTGCGAAGCTGGCGTGTTACACCGAAGGGCGGTTATACCGACTATATATTACATACAGATACAGGTACAGATCACTCCATACATGTATTCCGATAGGATATGTTGTTATGTTATCTAACTTCGTGTTGTTGTATATAATTATGGGTTCACCACACCACGAAGTGGTGAGGTGAAACCATATTGCTTTTTCTGGTGTTTCTTCTCCTTCTCCTTCTCCTTCTTCTTCTTCTTCTCCTGCCATTTTTTAAATGGATTCAGCTTCTTCATTTTAGGGCCTAAGGTCCTGAAATTTGGTATGGAGGTACAGTGGGCAAATACCCCTAGGCGTTTTTTAAATTTTTGTGATACAGGCTTTTAGAATGGTTTTATTTGAGTTTTTTGGCTGTGTTATAGCAAATGTATTACTGTGTTAGTGTGCCATGTTTACCACGTTTGGGTATGAGTCATCACAATGGAATGCAGGGCATCAACCAATAGGCATGCAGCTTTCCTCTATTCTTCTTGCTGATTGGCTGTTGGGATTTAACTTGATTAACACCTGCACAGAGCATTTCCACCTGCACAGAGCATTTCTTGCTGATTGGCTGTTGGGATTTAACTTGATTAACACCTGCACAGAGCATTTCCATACTGACAGTATGTCTGTATTCAAGTGTTTTGGTAGGTATTTCAAGCTTTCCTGCTCCAGCATTGGAATGCGGGGCATGAACGTTATTTTTATTTTGAAAATCAACAGTTTGCATTATGCAATTAAAAATCCTAACCAATAAAGTAGGGAATAGCTATCCAACTGTTGTTTTAGTCGTATGTTACTTCATATTATAGTTATATCAATGTAAATCATTGTTTTCCCTTGTGTTTCTCATTCTTTCCCTGCCATGTCGTAAAATGTGGTGAACCCATCGCTGTATTTGCTCCAAAGCAAATATTGGCCTTTCTAGTTGTGTTTTTGTCTCCTCGACTACATTTTCAAATGCGTGTGTCTGAAAAACAGATCTGTTGATCTGAGATATACTCTGGATAAATAAATCAACTTGAAACTTGAGTTGGCAATCATTTAATAACCTACGCCGCGTTGACAAAGGCCGAGAAATCGTTCCGGAAACTTAGAGGAAATAAACCCAGACCCTACCTGTGACCATGATGGACGTGAGTCTGCTTCTTTCCAGAGGCGGCGCCCACTTACTCAGAACACCGTAGGACGACGGGAACGTCATGCCCTGTTCGCAACATGGAAATAAAAAAACACAAACATAAGAAATTTAATACAGTAGACTGATCAAAGACATTGGCTGTTTGATGAGTCAAATAACAAAAATATATAGAATGTAACCTACATTTTCAAACCAAATGCATAATGTTTACCTTCACGTGATCTAGACTTTAAAAAAAGTACTGCTTTGTGTATTCATTTATATATGATAATCCGTCCCTTGCTACATTATGTAATCCAACACTACAGGGTGTCTTCCACAACATTAGTTACCATGGTGACAGCTGTCTTGTCCAGGTCATTAACTTAATTTGGAACGGAAGACGAAACTCGGCAAAAACAATATGTTTTCCTTCTGTGAAGGTAAACATACCAAAAAACCAGGGGGCATTGGAAACCAAGAGGCACTGTATCATAGACCTCGATCAATGTTCGGACCGATGTCTACTCACTTCAGACAGGCCCTGTAGGATTCTGATAAAGATGAGGACGCCATAGTGTAAGTCAGCTGCCACGGGAACCAGCATGTGTAGGCAGGCCGAGCACAGCACGGATGCCCCAAACACTCTATATAAACATACCATTGAATATTTTCACTTGATGAATGAATGAAAGACCTTTATTGTAGGTTTATGCTCTTACACGCTAGATACAGGTCACGACTTAAACAGGAAAAATTACAGTAATATCTTACTTAAAATATACATACTAATGTGAACTACTATTTACAGGTTCAATTCTTCTCGCTTCTTGAGGTAGGTGTAGATGTACGAACATTTAAATGGAGCTAATGATACATGGTTTGTCAAGTTTCACAAGAAATACGGATTTTCTGTATTACCTAAATGTCCAAAGCTGGGAATTTCTTTTATAAAAAGAATCAACATAATTGAAACCCCGTAAAAGTTTAAATTGACAGTGACAATTGAAATAATTCAATGTTGATCAGGAAAATGGTGAATCATACTATGAATTACCTATTAGCAGGAAATCGCACCGCCAGGTATCCTCCCAGGACTTTTGTCAGCAGGAAGCCCCAGAAGAAGGAGCCGTGGATGATACCGACTGTAATCTGCGACCAGTGAAATGGTGCTGGCTGTAAAGTTAAAACATGAAAAAAAAAAATGAGAAACTAGAGAAGTAACCTTTGCAAAGCAAATGCATAACGTTTACCTTCGGACACGGTCTGCTCTGTTAATTCTTACTCAAACACATTCACGTACATGTACTACTAGAATATGGTGACAGGAGCAGACCAGACAATGGAATTGGAACATAATGTAACCCAACACCAGTCACCATGGTAATAGACGTCAACAAATCGTGTCATTGGTCAGGTCAGAGGTCACTGTTTGGAGAAGAAGAAGAGGAAGAAACTGAGCAAAAACAATATGTTTTCAGACTTTTGTTCTAACCGCGTGCCTTTGGCCGAGAATACTTCTCCGGCCCCTACAACGCTTATAACTACAACGTTCATGAAACGGCCAGTATCGCATGAAAGCTGGTCTCCAGGTTGACATCTTGAAAAATAAGTCCTACCTGTACGTCATTTCACAAATGTGGCAAATCTCAATAAATAGATTACTTCTATACATGAACAGACAACATGTCAATTCCAAAGTTAACATCAAATTCTGGGAAGAGTCCTAATCCAAGTCAGCAACCTCAATACTGAAATGTTAACTAAATTCATAAATTTGCTACTCCCAAACCCATATACATGTACATGTACATGTGCTATTACACATTTGGTCACATTTGGTGCTCTCTGTCATAAATGGCGTTAAAGGTATTTGTGGCAGGTAGGGCAACATAGTTCATTGAGTACGTAAAGTGCCTACCACTTGTAAGTCTCCCAGTGTGTGGTTGTTAACCATATCCACCACGGCGATTCCCAGGTTCGTGCGGATGCCATACTGGATCATGAAGCCGAAGCACGCCAACACTGCCACTATATATCTCTTCGGCATGAACCCTGTTGGTACAAGTGCGTACTTATGCTGAATCTATAAAAGACAATCATTTGGTATACACGCTACTATTCTAGTGATGGTAAAAAAAGACAGTTCTTATATGCACAGTGACAGAATATCATCTCCGTTTTCAAAGGGTCCACAAATTACTACATTTTCCCTTCTTTGGCATTTCACAAATGTAAATTAGGGCTTGATGCTGCTTAATCACCATTTGCACAAGTTGTCCCAAATCCATGACTACATGTTTCTATCATAGACATGAAAGATGTCTTACAGATTTTATCCTGGGTACCATTCTGCGTAGCTACCACTGGCTCTCCCATTTCGCTTGCTACGTGCCACAATCCAGTGGTAAGCTTTCTACCACAATGCATGACTCTTGCTACTACAATGCAACCTGACATGAATTATGTTTATTAAAGATTTTACCCTGGGTACCATTCTCCGTAGCTACCACTGGCTCTCCCATTCTCCCTTGCTACGTGCCACAATCCAGTGGTAAGCTTTCTACCACAATGCATGACTCTTGCTACCACAATGCATGCATTGTGGTAGCAAGATTGCCTCTTGATTATGCAGTCTAAAGTGAAAATATACACTAAAGCGAACCCCTACAGTGGGACTATGATGTTGGACAAAGCGAACCCTGGCCTCTGATGTTAACTTACCGCTTTTACAGGTTGCCGCCTCCCCAAGTCGATCGCACAGGACATTAACTACATGCAAGTTGGGTGAAGTTTTGGAGGGAAAAAAAGCTGTGATGGTAACCATGCAAGAACTGCCTTTTTTTGTCCATGGACAATTAATCAATGAAGATACATATTATTAAATGCTATTATTAATGATGGGATTTAAAATATCAAGTGATATCAATGATGATGAGACAAAGGCTTTATGAAGAAAGAAATATCAGTTATCCCAAAGTACCAACAGAATTTATCTTGATGGATAAATAATGTTAAAACCCACCATACAAAATGACACTGAACGTCTATCCATATTGTTAGAACTGCATCAATTTATGATATGATCGTTTTGAGGGTGAAATCTTTGTTCTGTTCTTCTAAAAAAAAAGACACAAACCTTTCGGACAGGGACAGAAACTAGATCCGTCAGTTTCGCTACTACTTGGCCACAGCTTGTTCGTCCACGACTCGGGCAGGAAGGACGAATCTTTCCCATTGTCCTTCGGGTCCAAACTAATGCGATTTTGGGGCGCCATTCTGGAGAAAAACAGAAATCAAGTAAATAATCAAAATGCAAAACGACAAGAATTGCAATCAAATTATGTCCATTTTCTGAAGCAAAATTTTTTTTTTTTAGATTTGGACCACAATCCGAAGAGTCATACCTGCTTTGCACAACGTTAATATTCATTGGGCGTAACTGAACAGGTTTTACCGGTAAAGACACCGTCCGCCCCTCATACATATCCCAGGGGTAATTGTCAGAAGAGGGATTTTGCAAAAGGAATACTGAAATAGTTGAACACGGTGAATGAATGTATGGAGACATGAATTGGCGACACAACTTCCAATCACGTATACATAAAGCCATGGAAGTCACAGGGATATATAGAGAGAAATAATATGATGGAGTTTTTGTTCAGAAAAGATAATTTTTTTACAGGAAAATATAGGGTATCAGAGACGACAAAATAATAATAAATGACGAAACAAACAAACAAAACCGATTGTCCGATAAAACTGATATGGAGAGAGAGAATTTGACATCATCAAACCATATTGGCATATGAATATCCAACCACTCAGACGGATACAAAAATAAATAAAAAAATTAACCGTGCTAATACATTCAGCCAAAAAAAAACCGCGATGATTTTTTCCTCATTCAAACGACAATTCCTCAATTTTTCTGAGTTTCCCTACCTGTGATAGGAGTAAGTGCTGTGGAACGCAGCTATAGGGAACTCCATGTTAGCGGACCTAACGCCACAGCGGGCCGGGGTCTGAGTGTGCCGAATTTATCCCCGTTTTCAGCCTACGTCGGGACCCACTCCTACGTCACTGTCGAGCATATCTACCTTATAAACACTCCTTAAACATACACTAGTCCATCCACGCGATGTGCACTCTCCAAATGTCACCGTAATTCCTGCAAATTGGCTCCCTCTCGAACAAAAGAGTATGAATACGCCAAATGGTATATCCGCCTTTTAAGCGGTGCATAATTGGTGTTGAGTAGTGTAGATTCGTTTATCACTATAAAGGCCAATCATGACATAGGAGATACATTAACGTCGTCAACTGTAAATGTCAACACGGATAACGTTTTATTGGTGTTCTGAAATAAGGCCACAACAAGTAAATTTTATGGATGACATCCTCCGCAGACTCCAAATCTAATGCGATAGGCGAAAAAATAAACAAGACGGGCCGAAAAAAAACAAGGTTCCTACATTTTAAAATTTTGATTCAGTCATTATATATTGTACAAATGGTTTTGATTCGATCAGTGGGAACTTCACATATACAGAGCCACCATCACATATCACTGCATCAAAGTAAGAAACAAAACATTAAATCAGAGCCTTTTCTTGTCTCCCCTCTTCATAGTTATCTGCCATCCACCTTCCGGCATGGCAACAGACATATTTGCCCATTTTTG